CTCTAAGTGTCTCTTCAACACCAAACAACACTTAGAACTAGTCTGTCCTTAACCTTGTCGTCCATCCTTTGAAAACCGAAACGATTTCCATCGTAGGGGCATGACAACCATGATTGCCCAATCAATTGCCATTACCATGACCTAACTTAATTGCCTCTGCAAAACACACGTTAGTTATAGTAATCACGTATTGTCATTAATCACCGAAACCCAACTAGAGACCTAGATGCTTTCACTAGGGAGTTTACAGTCACGTAAGTTGGCGGCATGGTCCCAAGTCCCAACCCGCACCATAGCTGCACCGTGTACGTCGCCGACCACATCGCCAACACAAATGCCTTGTTGCCACGCCCAAAGCCGCGTTGAATGCCGCCGTCGCATGAGAGCGCTCTGTCGCCGATGCAGCTAGTTGCCTCGTGCTAGAGCACCGCCTCCTATGCACACTAGCCAGCAGCACGCGGCTCTCGATGGTGGACATGAACTTTGGTGGCAGCACAACGGAGTCACCCTTGACTAGGTCCAGATGGATGTTCACACTATTGGTACCCACTATCAGCCAGAGGGAAGGCCTAGACCCTAGGCGAACTTGAGCAGCTGGCAGCTACGAGTTCATCATCACCGTGATGCTGTCATAGTTCATGTTCATGTACACCAGTGCACCATGAACCACGGTGCGTGACCGGCGAGCCACTCAGGGACGCTTTCATGCTCCTTCCAAAGGTTACAACCGAGCCCTCCTTGTGCAGTCGTGCTTGAATGGCGCGAGGCCCAGCTCGATAAGGCCGCAGACGCTGATGGTCAAGAATGCAACGACATGCACGCCGATCTCCCTGCTGGCATCTAATTCTACCCTGTTCGTTTGACTGATAAGCCATGGCTGAAAGTACCGTTGGCTAATTTGTTGTGAGAGAAAAATATTATTTATTGGCTGAAAAAGTACGGCTTATAAGCCAAGCGAACGGGGCAAAGCCGGCCGAACAACATGACGACGTCAACGATGAGGCATGTGACTGATGGACACTTGGCGTGAGTGAGTGAACGGTCGAAGGGTCGCGGCAAAGCGGTGTCAGGGTTGGCACGACAACGACGGTATGGAGAGCGTGGTGACTCGTCCCTTGCGCATCTCCATGAAGCGTTGTAGCGACGCCTTCCTCGCCATGGGCGGGTCATCCTCCGTCGATGTGCGGCAGCACCTGTGGCGCACCTTGAGCAACCGCGAGCGAGGAGCAGCTCGATAGCCTTTTTCCCCTTGTCTGCGCGGATGTTATCGAGCACCACTAGCTACCCCTCCATACGAGATGGGCAGCTGCGCGCTTGGTGCCAGCGATGGCCCCGTCTTCGCCTTGGACTCCTCTCTTGCACGGACAGGGCCACACCTCTATGTCACGTCGCCGTCGCCATTGCTTTTACGTATCGGCTGAGCACGACGCTATGAAACCGGAAGCCCTAGCCTTGGACACTCCCCGCTGTAGCTAGGTGATAGCGGGTGGTGTCGTAGGAGAGGAAGGGAAGGGGAAGGTATGCCGTGACAGATGACAATGTTACTGGTCGCTGGTTCTAGGAAAAAGAGATCGAGAGAATGAGTCAAGAGAGAGAATGGCGTGGGTGGATGAATTAAAGAACTGACAAGTGGGCCCAAGCTCTACAGTGGTATCTCTATCCAACGTGGCTTACCAAGTCAGCAAAACTAACCTACAAAACCACTCTAGGGGATCATATGTCTGGTTTAGACAAGTTTAGGTTGTTCAATATATGATTTTATAGTATGAGGGGTTAAATAGATAACTACCCAAACTTGAGGGGGTTATTTAGACCTTTTTCTTTTTTTAACTGGCAAAAGAAGAAAAATAAGAAGATTAAGTTGGCTCAAAATCTAAACCAAAATGCTACAGTGAGGACATCCGATCCTCCGGACGCTCCTGTTCGCAGGCCGTAACATTAGCCTAATGGCCCAGTGATCGTAGCCTCTCACCCACACCCGTAGCTTGCTGTCTCCATTCCCCTAAAAAAATCACCGTAGCTCGAGCGGACGTGTTCCGCTACGACCACGCTCTGCCGCACCACCCGGCGTTCTCCACGGTGACCAAGGGTCGACAGCGAGCATCTTCACCTCGCCCGAGCGCGACGCCGCCCACCTTGATCCCTCTCCATCGCACCTCCCCGCTGCCCGCCTTCATCTCTCTCCACCACGCCTTCGGCCCACCGCGGTCTTCTCCAGCTCGTCGACCGCCTTCTCTACCGAAGCAGCGACAACTCACGCGCTGACCCGCCATGGCTTTCTCCACCGGAGCGGCGACAGCTCGTGCTAGCACGAGATCGGAAGCACCACCATCTAGTGTCACGCCGATCCACCTCTCCCATCGCGGAAGGGGAAGCAGGGGAGGCCCGCGCCTGTTCCCCCATCCACCTCGTGCCGTCGGTAGAAAGGGGAGGCCTGCGTCACTGCAGTTCTTCACGAGGTAGGTTATGCTCGTGCGGCAACGTTGTGTTTCAAGTGTTTCTAGACGTTTTTTCAGACACGTTGCAAGCCTATGTTTCAAATGTTTCAATTTGTTTCAGATGTTTATTTCAATTGTTTCATGCGGATGTTGCAAAAGTAGATCAGGATGTTGTATATATTTCAATAGTTGTACACGTATGTTGCAAGCGTCTATCCCCAATGTTTATCTGTTTTTTATACATATATATTGCAAGTGTTTCAGACGCATGTCTCAAGTGTTTCATCTGTCTTCTTTTGTATGTTGTAAGTGTTGCATCTGGATGTTTTAAAAGTAGATCGGGATGTTGCACATGTTGCAATGGTTATGTTGCAAGTGTTTCAAACGCATGTCTCAAGTGTTTTATCTGCCTTTTTCTGTATGTTGCAAGTGTTGCATCTGGATATTTAAAAAATAGATTGGCATGTTGCACATGTTGCAATGGTGTTTCAAGTGTATTCTCTCTGTCCCTAAATATCTGTCGTTTGCGCTTTCTCGAGAAACAACTTTGACTAAATATATATTAAAAAATATTAATATTTATGGTATATAATTAGTGTCATTGGAAAAAAAATTAATCTAGTTTTTAAATAAATTTTTTTGGCGATCCAAATGTTGCATGTGTTTTCCACAAAATTGAATCAAACTTACGGCACGCACACCAACGACGACAGTTATTTAGGGACCGATGGAGTATGTCCTAAATGTTTATCTATTTTAGACGTATGTTGCAAATGTTTTTATCTGGATGTTGTAAAAGTATATCTGATATTTGAATGTTGTAGTGAGACCCACCTGCTACAACATCTGCTTGCAGCTGCTGGGCCTCCATGCATGCGTGTGAGAGCGGAGGAGCGCGAGTGGCGGGCGCGCTAGGCTCATTTGAAATCTAGAGAAACAAAAGTCAAAGTAAGTGAAACTCAGGCAAAACTAATTTGAACACAGCTTACATAAAACCAACAGAACAACATCTACTCATGAGAAATCTGTTGAAGAAAGACAAACCAAGAAGAATTAGAGCATTAAATCTTTGGTTGCCCACAGAAAACATGTATAGTAGTCTCATTGGCCTTGCCTTCACCGATGTCACTTCAAAAATTCTGTCTAAAGTTAGATCCTATCCTATATCAATAGAACATAGGAGGGCGAAAAAAGCCGTTGATTCTTCCCTCGGACGTATACGTATAAATCGAATTGTCAAAAAAAAGCAAAGTAAAGTTAGGTGGGTAAGTTCTCTTTTTAGAACCTAGATCACTCTATCGGGAAGGGGGAATTTCTGGTGTGTCATTAAAAAAGATCGCAATGTCCTATGAGCCTCTGAAAAAGTTCAGCGGTCTTCAGCGCCACTGCTCCAACTTTTTTGTGCCCTCTATGCCACTGCCGTTAGTTTGGGCTCTAACACCGTCAAACTGTAGGTGTGAAAAGTCGAAAATATCCTTACGTCTAAATATGTCATTAATTTTTTTGAGCATCTTAACGACTTTAAATGAAAAAACTCAAAACTAGAAAATTGTAGATCTCGTTGAGATCTATAATTTTCGTATAAAAATTATCTTCATTTAATTCCGCAAAAAAAAATATGATTTGATATGATTAATATATCTTAGAAAAATCATATCTTTTTTATGGAATTAAATGAAAATAATTTTTATATGAAAATTATAGATCTCGACGAGATCTACAACTTTCTAGTTTTGAGTTTTTTCATTTGAAGTCGTTAAGATGTTAAAAAAAATTAATGACATATTTAGATATTAGGGTATTTTCAACTTTTCACACCTGCAGTTTAACGATGTTAGAGCTCAAACTGATGACAGTGATATAAAAGGTATAAAAAAGTTAGAGCAGTGATGCTGAAAACCGTTAGAACTTTTTCTAGAAACACGTAAGGAATCATGATCTTTTTAAGAATTCTCCCTATCGGAAAACAGGAGCTCACCTATCCGTTCGTGCTATAGCAGAAAGTGGCTCATTAGTAAAGCACCACCCGGAAACCCAGACAAAGCACGAGCCACGCACTCCCCCGCTGTATCCCTCCCGCCGTCCCGCCCTACCGCCGCCACCGCCACCGCCGGAGTCTCTCACCACCGTCGCTGCTCTCCCGCATTCACCTTTCCCTTACCATTTCCTTTCATGCGCTCAAGAGCCACGGCTCGATCCAGATCCAGGTGTCCTTTGACCGAGACCGCGCCTGCCTTACCCCCCGGTTGGATTCTTCGCCGTCTTCGTCCCCACTTGGCGCCGCTGGGGTGGAGCGGAGATCGGATCCGCCAGGGGCTGAGGGGCTGATTCCTTCTCTCGCAGGTGAGGACGCCCTTGCTTTCTTGGACGGCAAATCTCAGCTTTGCCGTGAGCGCTGAAACCAAATGTTTCTTTCTCTGCATTCAGTCTAGTTTGATGCGAATTCATTTGCTGACCGGCATAGTATGATCCTGCGGTGATCGCGGATAGCTTGTGCAAGCTAGTGGCTTGGGAGTTCTCTTTTTAATCTGGCCTAAAGAAATCCTGAGACGGTAGCGTAACATGGATGCGAATACGGAGGTTACTGATGCTATTGGTGCAGTGGTCATTGACAATGGGGCCAAGGGGAAGTTGACGCCCAGTGATAGTGTAGAGGGCCACTCAGAAGAACACGACGTACTGGCTGATGGAGTGCATTCGGGCAAGAGCGAGGTGATCAACCCATCTGAAGAAGTGGAAATGGAAGCCACCTCGCAATCCCAGGACATAAAGCCCCGAGTTCCTGAGGTAAGGTTTTCACGTTTACACATTGCCAGTTCTGGTGACTTCAATCAGTGGTCCGCTGACAGTCACGCGTTTTCTGGCATTTTCATGTGTTCTAGGCCATTCACTGAAGGTTGTTACTAAATCTCAGCGACAGAGCCCTCGAGGCGGGGATAAGAGTCAAGCTAGGAAAAGCTCTCCCAGTCCTTATCCTAAGGCTTGCACGGGTTTCTGATCCAGATCTAGTTGATAGCTCTTCAAGCAATGGTGATGCTGGTGCCAGTAAGAAAGTAAGTTAAACTTTTGTTATAGCTTATGAGTTACGATGTGCCCATCTATATTTTTATAGCGCTTATAGTGATATGCATGATTTCTACTATATTACTTCTAGGAATGTTTATGTGCCTTGCCGTTTGAAGTTTGAACCTTATACATTTTTGTTGTTAGTGATTTCATTAGAAGGCCGAAAAGAGCAGTTTCTGTCCAGTTGCCAAGGAGAGCCCATCACTTGAGGACTCAAAGTAAGCTGTTTTGGTTCTTCGTTTTGCACTTTGTGATTCCGTGTTGCTTCATGGTTTCTGTTTCTCAACTTAAAATCAGCGCTCTAAGCATCCAATTAAGCCAGGCCTACTAACTTCTCAGATTGTGAGGAACTGATCCTAGCCAGTGTTTAAAAGGCGACTAAGGGTCCAGGTGAATGTTGGGTCCGCCTGGACGCCTAGGCGACATGGCGCCACTATTTCACAAGGCGAGCTGGGTACGCCTGGACGCCTAGGCGACGTCTTTGAAACACTGATCCTAGCTCAGTTGGTTGATGTGGACGTACGCTCAGACCACCTAAGTCAAGTCCTCGTCGGGGCGAATTTGGGTGCCTATTTCTTAATTAAAAGACAACTAGTTTTTTTCATAGGTTGGATGAGTGTTTTAATTACCCAGATTACCTTGAGTGTGAAAATGCTATGAATTATTGGTACAATTGTGTTTGCTAGATTTTTTTGGTAGCATAAGAGTATAGCATGATTTAATGAATTTTTTGAAGTGTTCGTTCCGTCAAATATGCAAAGGAGTTTTTCCCCCTTGGGATCATCTTGTTTATTTGAACATTTATTATTGTCTGTGCATGTACCACAGACATTTTATAGTTACACAATTTTTTTTTTGCCTGGTGCAAGCGGTAGAGTCTTACCGCCTGTGACCGGAAGGTCCCGGGTTCGAGTCGCGGTCTCCTCGCATTGCACAGGCAAGGGTAAGGCTTGCCACTGACACCCTTCCCCATGATAGACCTAAAACAGGATCACTAGCCATAGATCTAGCATGTTTACTTGCTTTTGGAATAAGCAGTGAGTCCTAGAACATCTACTAGTACGGGATTAATAGATAGAGTGTGAGAGAGAGAGAGGGGTGAAGGGGGGTGCAAACCATCGGCCGCCTTTGAGGAAGACGGGCTTGCCATCGCGGTGCTTGGTGAAGACCCGGTGGCGGTGCTGTGTCGAAGGGAGGTGGTGCAGTGGCGGCGTTGGCCGGTGGCGGTGCTTCCCGTCACTGGCTGCGCACCCTCTATTAGATCGGATTAGGATTGTGTCGGTGGGGTGACTGTAGCTCAGGTGAACCTCGTTATCTGAGCCGCCGGCCCCCACTTTTCTTTTATAGCACAGTGTGACGGGGGCCCACCAACCATGTAGGGTTGGCCGCCCCCGATCAGGGCGCGGATCCAAGGGCCCAATTGGCCGGATAGAGATCATCTAACACCCCAGACCCCGCACAGAGCGTGAGCTCGCTGCACTGGGTACGCCCAAGTGCCAGCTTGCAAACAACACAACAAAACTTAGTTGAGCTACATTGCTGCCAATAACGAAGTTAGGCGATTCAATAGAAGCTATTAGAACTGGTTAGGAAAGATCACACCAGTGACCAGGCAACATTGAAACCGCATTATGAAACCAATGTTGTACTGATGAAATAGAAGTTCAGGATAGTGTCATCCAACTAACACCGCATACTCAGAGGTGTTCTGTGCATTTCGATAATTCCAATGCAATCATCTTTGGTGTCAGCTTCGTGGTTAAATGGGAGTTAGTCACAAAGAGCAAAAGCTGAAGGCTTCCATTCCCTGTTCGCTTGACTGATAAGCCATGGCTGAAAGTACTATTGACTGATTTGTTGTGAGAGAAAAATACTGTTCGTAGCGAACAGGGCGCATGAAGCTTTCTCGTACTAGGCACATGATTGGTTTATGATTTTTAAGTCATGCCGTGGACTGTGAGCTTGTGACATTCGTACTTACAAACATGGATCATTTGATTTCAGTTTTGAGAACTTGCACGAGGATATACTGTTTATATACCCCGCCTATCTACTGTGAAACACGGATCGATCGATTTCAGTCTTGAGAACTGGTACGAGGATATACAGTTATATACCCCGCGCCTACCTACTGCATTAGGTAGAGTCGTAGAGAACCGATTGCAATTAGAATACAGAGAAAACTACAGTGTTCCACAGCTTTTCTCACAACAAGGCAGGTCCAAAGATATTTTTTGTTTTTAAGATTTATAAGTCCAAAGTCAAGTCAATCTCAATCAGTCTAGCTTCTACTAGTATGTCACTACAGGCATCTACTCCCTCTGTTCCAAAATAGAAGTCAGTCTCGCTTCCCGAAAAGTCAGTTTTTTCTAACTTATATTAATATTTGTAATACATAATTAGTATCATTAGATAGGTCGTGCAAGCGGTAGAGTCTTACCGCCTGTGCCCGGAAGGTCCCGGGTTTGAGTCGCGGTCTCCTCGCATTGCACAGGCGAGGGTAAGACTTGCCACTGACACCCTTCCCCAGACCCCGCACGGAGCGGGAGCTCTCTGCACTGGGTACGCCCTTTTTTTTAGATAGGTCATTGAATATACTATCATAATAAATTTATTTGGAGACATAAATGTTGCACGTATTTTCTACAAATCTAGTTAAAGTTAAATTTTTTTGACCTGCACGCATCCCATAACGTTATATATTATGAGACAGAGGGAATATAGCACAAGGAGAAAATAAAAACAAAACATTCGCCCATTTCGGCATTTTACCATCAGACATATATCAGGTTAAAGGGAGGGAGAGGGAGCGGACCTGGTTCCAGACGGAGCCGAGAGTGGCGGGCGTGGGGTTGGCCGCGAGGTCGGCGGCGTCAAGCTTGCGTGGCGCGGGCAGCGGGGCGGCGTCGCCCGTCGCCTCCCGCACCCAGTACCTGTACGACGTTGTCTTCTCCGCCGCCACCGCCGTCGCAGACACCGCCTCCTCCATGTCTCGCGCTAGCCGGTGACTCTAGGCGGCGGAAGCGGAGATCGTCTTGCTCCTTGGGGCAGGTGCAGTTGGGTTGGGTCGGTGTGCTGCTTCAGGAGAGTTCGCACCGAAGTAAGATTGGGTGGGCATGGGCACACCACTCCAGTTTTGACGCTTTCAAATTTTTCCTCCCGATGTCCCGGGAAGATTCCTCGCCACGTGCTTCCTTTTTTTGCCTGTAATTGGTCTTTTACTCGCTCATTAAATCGCATTAAGATCACAATTTCTTTCGCGTCACTCCCTTTGGTAGAAGACCAAATTTTTTCCCTCCATGTTTTTGAATGTCTTTTTCCCTCCATGTTACTCTTTGGTTTCCGTCTTGTTTTCATGGCTATTCGGTTCTGTCACGTCACGTGCGTCTAGGCACTAGAAATGTCCATGCAACCCTTCAATTGCTAGACTTAGCGAAGCCGCCACATCTAGTTGACTCTGGTACTCCTCTCTCTCTCTTGCCTCGTGTTCACTTGTGCCCTCTCTTTCCTTGAAACCCTAGCGGTGGCGGAAGCGAACCAAGCAAATCCCCCCTCATTTTGGCGTCGCATGGGTATGAGGACATATATGAGCTTTAGGGACAGATTGGATCGGGTTTGGAGGAGAAATGGTGAAGAACGGGGAAGGTGGCCCTCCGAACTGCAGATGGGTGAATTCTTCTTCTCTTCGATTGGATCTCGTTTCTTTCGATCTTGAACTATAGCTTGTACCACATTGATTATGTTAAGACTGATCTCGTTAGTTGTACATAAACTCGTCCTTGTTCATTTGTAGGAAAAGGAACTTGCAGGCAAAATCAAAGGTTTGTGCCCTTGTTCTATTTTCATATTACTATGGAAGTGATATTGCTCGTTGCGACATTGATTATAATGTTGACTTTATCCATTTGTTACTTCTGTGCAGGAAACTGAAGAAGCTGAACTCAAAATGCTGAGAAAGAGTTTAAATTTCAAGGCAACACCAATGCCCAGCTTTTATAAGGAACCACCTCCCCCCAAGGTTGAGTTGAAGAAGGTAATTGTCCCCCCTTACTTATGGCTTAGTTTCTTCTTCCTATTCTCCTCCATTGAATTGCGGGCTGCAGATATATGCTATATCTAAATCACAAAATATCTCAGTTTACTGCTAAGGACAAAAAAAATTATCTGCATTACAATTCAACGTGAAAAGATTATATTAATCAAATAATCATCCTTCAAGTTTCTGCCTGTTAAGTTTTAACATGACTTATAAAAATGCAATAGTTCTTTAATTCAGTTTACCATCATGTTGAACTGAAAACCTTAATCTTGGTATAATATTTTTTAACAAGCTAAATAGCTAATAAAAGGAGTTTTTTGTTTTGTTGTAGCTACAAAATTTTACTCTATTGAGTCATACAGCAAAAGAGCTTTGCAGTCTTGTACTCAAATATAACACATCACATTTTGTAATAGCTAAATCCAATTACAGTCTTTTGCCTATACAGTATTTAAGATTTATCATGCACTTTGTGCACCTGAATTTTCTGTAACTTGTACAGTTGTAAACAAGGTTCTTAATTCATAGCTTATAGATAAAATGAACGATTACCCCCATGGTTATGCTATTCTTGTCTTTAGTTGGGGCATTTGTTGTATTGTTAGGTTTGCAATCTAATTAGTAGTTCTATGCTAAATTCATTGCAAGTCCATAATCCATATTTTGATGGAGTTAGCAGCCATATGAATAAGAAAACAATAAATTTGAAAGCTCCCAAAGCCTAGTTTGGTCTTGTTTTCATTGGATTGTTGCTTTTGAATTTCCAATAACAGCTATGTCACACTTAAAAATTTCTTACCCAGCTTGCCACTAGGTATAAAGGTTATGGCTCCCAATATTATTTTCTGTTGATCTTAGATCCCTACAACAAGAGCTAGATCACCAAAGCTTGGTCGCTCCAAGAACACATCCTCAGGAGAGACCAAAGGAAATTCAAATCCTCCAGCTCGTTCAGCTCAACTGAGTCTCGATGAAAGGGTCTCCCAAAATGGTGTCAAGAAAGTACCCGCTGCAAATGCAGTGAAGAAGCCCCAACGGATATCTCTCCCTAAATTGCCTTCAGAGCAAACAACGAAAGTTGACATTGCAGCATCTGTTTCATCTACAGAAGAGCTAGAAAACAATTCATCGTCGACGGGTCTTGTTCGAGAGCCAATCCGCCTCAAGTTACACCTGATGAACCTGGACTCAGTGCGTAGGAACCTATCAAGCCGACTCCTATGAAAGGAGAGAGCTGTGCCTCAGCTTCCTTTATCACATTTTGCTACTGCTGCAGTAAACTGCTGGCTGGTATTATGTACTAAAATTAGTCTCATCACCAGGAGTTTGAAGAATGGCAAATGACCCCTTGTATTGTTTTTCTTAGTTTCTATTGACATACGAGGTGTTTGTAGTTGGCAGAATTTCATATTATCATGTCCTATCTCCAGGGTTCCGAGTCAATTTCCTTGCCGTCCTAGTACAAATATGTACACGATTTTGCAAAGCTCTGTGATTTGGTGCGGCCTGTTTGTCTGTACTAGGGTCGCTGATTCGGAGCTACATCTTCTTGTCTAAAACATTGAATGCTTGATCTCTGATTCTTATGGTCTGTTTCCATTCTGTTTTAGTGGATGCCTTTGTTATTACAAGCAAAATAATTCCCTTTCTGTGGACATCTAACAAGGAGTAGAACGTGTTTTATACTATAACTTTATTATGTTAAGAGCACTGAATAGTCTATTTATATCTTATTGGCTTGGCTTTCATTTTGTGTGATGTGTGGGTTCTGTTTACAGTGAATCGGCCCTCTGTGACCATCTTGCATGAATTATGGACTAATTTTGTCTCTCCCTAAACCTGAGCAATGATGTCACTTGATTGAGTATCTGTATCATGGTCCACAGGGTTTGTTTTGATAGAATTAGAAGGACTATGTGTTAGTTGCACTGAATCATTAAAAAATGGTTTTCGAGGTTGAAGTTCTAGTTCTGATTTGTGTGGAGTTTGCACCTATATAATGAAATAATGATGTAGAGGATAAGGTGTCTGTGTGCGCTTTATTTTCCTTGTCTGCACTTGTGTTTCTAATGATATGCTATGCTTCAATGTCATTTTCTGCACATTGGTTATAACTAGGTCCTTTGTTATTTCTCTGACCAGGGCCAGCAAGAAGCTACTGCCAGATCAAGAGCAAGCCATACCCAAAGTCCAGGTACTGCCGTGGTGTCCCTGACCCCAAGATCAGGATCTATGATTGGGATGAAGAATCGAGTGGATGAGTTCCCCTTCTGTGTCCACCTGGTGAGTTGGGAGGAGAATGTTTCTAGTGAGACTCTTGAGGCTGCCCACATTGCTTGCAACAAGTACATGACCAAGAGTGCTGGAAAGGATGCCTTCCTCCTGATGGTCAGGGTCCATCGGTTCCATGCCCTTCGTATCAACAAGATGCTTTCATGTGCCAGAGCTGATCGGCTCCAGACTGGAATGAGGGGTGCTCTTGGCAAGCCCCAGGGTACCTGTGCTCGTGTGGACATTGGTCAGGTCCTACTTTCTGTGCGCTGCAAGGAAAGCAATGCTAATAACGCTGAAGAAGCCCTTCGCCGTGCCAAGTTCAAGTTCCCTGGCTGCCAAAAGATCATTCAGAGCAGAAAGTGGTATGTGGGAATGAAGATGCTTTGCTGTTGAACCCATGTCACAGCATCGATGAAGGATCTGAGTCTGACTTGTTTGGTTCCTTGCCTTGTTTTTTCAGTGGCTTCACCAAGTTCACCCGCGCTGAGCATCTCAAGTACAAGAGCGAGGGTAGAATCGCACTCACACCTGATGGTGAAAAGGTTTTCCAGTTGCTCATTTATTTGTGTCCCTGTTTAAGCATCATATGCTTCACATGTGAAGAACTGATCTTGAATAATTTTGTACTGTTTGATGTAATTCCAATGTACGGAGTAGTATGCCCTTTCGGTTTATGGGCTGGTTTATAACTGGCCTATCTTATTTTATAATACTAGTTCATCTTTTGGCCTTTGTGTGCAGCTGCTTGGCGGTTCATCTTTTGGCCTTTGTGCAGCTGCTTGGGGGTTCTTCTTTTGGCCTTTGTGCAGCTGCGTAGACTGATTTCTTTGCGAATCAGAACTACAGAGATTTTGCTTAGTTAGCCCAGTTCCATATGGTGGTTAAATATTCATAATAGATTGTTTGAACCTTGCTATGTAATCGTTGTCAACACTCAACAACAATACATCTCTCATTTCAGTGGACATGTTTTATCTATCCTTGAATGTCATTATCATTCTGTTTCAATTTCAAAAAAGTTACTACATTCCTGAAAGATCGAAGGCGGCATAGATCCGTAGCTGTGGAATCTCATTTCACTGGTCGGCATATGCGCCCCATCGCGCTCGATCTGCCCTGTTACTAATCAAACATTTTACAGGTGAACTGGATTTCTGTGCTTGCTCTCTAGAATTTCTAGCACTAAAACCATCTTACGCTGTGTTTGCTCTGTAGAATTTCGCGACTATCAAACATTTCACAGATGAACTGGATTTCTGTGCTAATTTCTAGCACTAAAATCATCTTATGCTGTGCTTGCTCTGTAGAATTTCTACACTAAAATCGGCGGCGTAAGTTGAATGCAATGTAAAAAAAAAAGGAACAGGCAGACCCAATATGTCATATCATCAATAATGCAGACCCAATACGAACATCACATACTGATATACGAGTAGCCAACATCATCACATACTGATAGCCAACATCTTCACATACTGATAAACAAAGACAACGACACAGTACTAAAGATCGACGGCACGGTACTAAAGATGGTAAATAATTAGACAGGGGCAAACTAATAACAATTAGACAACCTTGCTCCACCGAAACGAGACCCTGCACTCACTTTCGTAGGATGCACACACTTCCCTCACGATACCCACCTACTCCTGGGGAAGGATAAAGATCTGCTTGATACCGTTGGTGAAGTCGACGCCCACCTCGGCTACTTTTTATATAAGTCTTGCCTAAGGGCATGTTTGGCATGGCTCCAACTCTGAGTGGAGCTGCTCCACTTGTTATCTAGGTGGAGCCACAAGAGTTGGCTACGTAATGGAGGTGTTTGGTGAGAGGTACAGCTCACTCAAAAAGACAACTTTTAGGATGAATTGCCATTGTTACCCCGAACTCACGCCCCCACATGTCACCCTCCACCCTATCTTCTTCTTCATCATCAGAATGTCGGTTGCGCTTGAACCCGTGGAGCTTCAAGAGACGTGGTGGTCTTGGCAGTTGAGAGCGAGCGGGCCAGGGGCTCCTCATGGCGGCCGATGAGGCGAAGGGCCACAGTTCGGCGGCGCGCCTTGACAGTGCTTTTGGCGATCAAGATGGGCCGCACACGCATGGAAGCGGCGCATTGTGGATCTCGAGGCAAAAGCTTGGCCGTCATGGGCGTTAGCAAGCAAAAAGCTAGCTATATCTTGCCTTCGCCGGCTTAGTCGATTACTCCATCATCTGAAGGATAGAAGCAACCCACGTAAACCATGTAAAAGAGGTCGCATGACGGGTTCATGGAATGGCCGCCGCCTAAATGGATTGAAACCCCGTGGTGGAGAATGACGGGAGGTGGGAGCAAGCGGATGGTGGAGTGAGAATAGGCGGTCGACCAACGAAAAAACATCGCGCATGGGACTCAAGACAGTGCAGCAAGAAGACGGACAGGAAGGTGGGGGTGGCGGCAGGATGCAAAACCGAAACGTCGGAGTGTGAATGGCGGAAATCGGCGAGGCGGGGATGAGGCAAAAAAAGGAGACGGAGAATAGAAAGAATGAACCGTTTAGTAAAACGATGGTATGGGTGGGTAATTACCCACCAACTCTACGAGGAGGTTCATATTGGATGGTTTTGGAGCTGCAAAAGAGGTGCTCCGAAACTCCACCTCCATTTGCACTATAGTTCCATGGAGTTGACAGCTTCGTAGAGTTTTATAGCTAGGGTGTTTGGCTGAAAAATTGACTGAAGTTGCTGAAGTTTAGCTTCAGAGCCATGCCAAACACGCCCTAAGGCAGTCAGTCCTACTCCAGGTCCACGAAGTAATTCCAACGGGTGATGTTTTCAAGCTCGAGTGCTATGGCCTCGGGTTCCTCGGGGAAGAACTCGGAGTAGAGTTCGATTTCTTCTTGGGAGAGAGGAGGCAGCTTCGGCGAGGGGCGTGTCTTGATCCTGTCGATGAAGGAGTCGGGCACCGTCTCCTTCGTGATCATGGCCACCGCCGTCTCGGCCTTGCGCTCCCCCTTTGGCCCCGGCTCGCTCCCAGGCGCCGTCTTGTTCCCCGCTGCAGGCTTGGTGCCGCAGGTCCCGAAGTCGCTCCAGGATGCCGCCTTCACCATGCCTGTCCCGGCCGCCTTCTTGTTCGCCAGCTCAGCCTTGGTGACGCCGATCTCGCCGATGAAGCTGCCGACGTCCTTGTTCCTCGCAACCGCCATCTTGCGGTCTGTGTTGGTACAGGGAAGGAAGGGGGTCGCAATATATAGCCCCCGCAACTCTAGACGCTATTGGGTCCTTTCCTTCTCTGCACCGGACTTTCTGTCTTCCGACTTTCCGAGTTCCGACTCCGATCCGCTCCTGCCTCTTTTCACGCGCGCCGTTGATTCCGTTGCGGACGCGGATCCCCCATCCAGCACCGGTACGCACTCGCAACCGGCATCCGTGTTGGAAGTGGGACGCTTTTTGGGCCAACTGGGCCGGACCAACCCCGCCACCTCTCCTGACTTGCGGGCCCCGTAACATCCTTATGAATACTACCCTATCTCTCTGCCACGGTTCCCGTTCCGTCTCCCGACTCCAGCGAACCATCGCGCCCACGGACGGCCCCACGCCTCCCGAAGCGGTTCAGCCATGGCAGCGGTTCTCACGCTGGCCTCAGACGAGAGGTCTCACCCAGTTGCTGATAGTGCTCGTGACCATCTGATCGAGTGCTGATATACTGCTTATGACCGTCTAATTTGATGAACTGTCATAGAAAGCCGGGATATTATTGCTATCTTACACTTCATGGTCCTTCGTTCACATTGGTTGGTTTCTCGGATTGATTTATATTTTAACTTTAATTTTCATTCTAGAGAAAAATACTATAGTTAAATTGTTTTGGTTGATTGAAACCAACAAAATGAATCACCAAAATGCCGTTTCAAAAAAATGAATTGGCATGGTGAGTTGTTCTTTTCATCCTCTGCAAACTTTGGGGGCGCCATGGCTTCCACCGTAGTTTGGAGGTTGCTCAGCGATTGCTCCTGTAGCCACAGTTTAGTGGTACGTAAAATGCGATGAGTTTCACAACTACTAGTTCTGAAAATTTCACTTGAAACTGATTGGACGGTGTAGCAAATTGGCTATTTGGAAAGTCAAGGATGGCCGCTCACTGTGGTTTACTCTGGTGTTTGGTAAAATAGAGAGGAAATCGTGTCAGCTATATTTATTTTACTTCGTTAAAATAGCATCTTGAAAGTATAAAATACATGTGTGTTGGCTTAGATGAATACTAAATGGTTTTACTCCAGCGTTACGGTAAATGCGATCGTGAGGATTCCTTGGCAAGGTCTATGGTCCTGGTGACACTAGTTTTTTACAAAGTTCTGGCTGTTTCCCTTTATTTGGTATCTTGGCTTGGATGTTTGAGGCACACTTTCACATGGGACAACAATGGTGGAGGTTCTGGCTCATTCAGCGACATCAATGACAGCCTTTTTTCTGGATGAAGCTCAAGGTCAATGATATCAGCACCAAAATTTGTTCTAGTGTTATTGGGTGAGTTCCTGGGCATTCAAAATTTTCTACTTTTTATATAACTAGCAAATATGTCCGTGCGTTGCAATGGGACTACAATTTGTTATGCTATCGTTAGCACAAGAGTGGCTACGTAATGGAGCCAGTCACGAGCAAAGCGGCCACAACAAGGCAGCTTGAGCTGGCAACGCGACGGCCACGACAGCACGCTCTCGCAGTGGCCCCACCATACAGACCTAGGCCACCACGGTGCACAAGCGCGGCTCTTGTGGGTACCGAGCGGGCTTTGCTCCTTTGGCGGCACGTGCCTCGAAGGCCACAGTTTGGCGGCGCGCCTTGACAGTGCTTTTGGCGATCAAGAAAAGTGACACGCATGGAAGAAAACCTAATTGTGCCAGCAACAACACAAAAGTTGGTGAAGATTAGTTTAGCAAAAAGTAGCTATATCTCGCAAGGCTTAGTCGATTACTCCATCATCTGTCTTCCACAGAAACCATGTAAAAGAAGCTTGAATCGAATGGAACCTTTAAAAATAAAAGAAAACACGTAAAGAAAACAGACAAGCGAAACGGGAAAAGAAAAGAACAACAGACCAACAAAAAAACAGAACCATAGAAAGAAAAGGAACCGGAGAACACCTGCAAAACAGAAACACGGATGAAGAAGGAAATATAAAGGATAGGTAGAAAAGAAAAAAAAGAAATTAAAAAAGATGAAAACCAAGTAAAGAATTTTACGTGTCGATGTTAGAACTTAGAATATTATAGAAATACTTGTGCTTTGGGGAGTATTTGATTTCATATAAATACATGGCAGAATCGAATCTTAATAGGATTAGAATTAGGCTCACCCACAAATACGACATATAGAAAAGAGAAAAACAAACGACGTACACATCGGCACCTCCCCGTAGGGTCCGGCACTACCGTTTGCACTCATAGAATCTGAACATGAATACGGGATAAACCCCATGCCCGCCGGACCGACCAAGAGTTTTATGAATCCATATTGTTTGTGTGCCTCTAATTTTAGATGTTTATGTGCTTTCCTCTGTGTTGGAATTGGTTTTGGGCTCCGCGTTTGGAATTGGGTTCGGGCGCGAGCTCTGGAGGTGACGATCTCGGTTGTGATCGGTGTGGACGGTGGACATTTACATAGTTTGTTAGGGAAGGCTAGACCAAAATAACATGACCAAAAAAGAGGAGGAAATTTTTATTACTAACAAACATGTCCGTGCGATGCAACCGGAGAAAAATATTCATAGAACGACAATAGAAATGGTATATATATATATATTATTTATGTTTCATCACTTACAAAATTTCTTAAAATCTATAATTTATTTTATGATGATCGTGGCATCCAAAATATAAGTTAACATTGACAATAATATGGCAATGTATTATTAAGCCTTTATCAAATTAAAATAGGGTCTTGGTATGTTTTTTTCTCCTATGGCAAAGCACATAAATATTTTGACATAAATATATTATAACTTTAATTTTCATTTATCTATGTGTTTCTATAGTTAAATATCTAGTTTTGTGACCTTTGAGATGTCATGGTCGTTATAAAATAAATTATACCTTTTGATTAATTTTATAAATGATGAAACATAAATAATATGGCAATGTATTATTAAGCTTGTATCAAATTAAAATGCAGTCATGTTATGGTTTTTCTCCTATTGCAAAGCACATAAATATTTTGACATAATATATTTTAACTTTAATTTTCATTCTATATGTTGCTATAGTTAAATATCTAGTTCCGTGACCTTTAAGGATCCACCAAAATCTACAATTTAAATCTCTAAATTCGACCAAGAGTTAGTTGCCGACGTGTCAAGGTTTTCATTTTATCTATGTGCTACTATAGTTAAATATCTAGTTTCGTGATCTTTGAGGACCCTGCATACGTGTCAAGTATTAGTCTGTCCACTAATGATTATCATAGGAGACCTCTCTCGACATTTCACATGCTAGCCCTTATCAGTGGTTACATAGATAGATTTATCTAGATTGGAATTAGACAATAAACTACTCAAGGTTTCGATCCATGTTTTGATTATAGTTGAACCATTGACTAATTTAAGTTTTAATAAGAATATGTCTCTAATCAAAATTACATTAACAACTTGACGGTAGAAATCTTTGTTCTTAGAGAAAAGTCAATAGTTCAAAGATATATAACATTTAATATTTGATTTTTAGAAAAAAAAAATATCCAAACGGGTGAACACAGGCAACAAAAAACAAAAGAAAATCCAAAAGAAATAATGATAACGGGAGGCGCCAAAAGAAATCAGACAAAAACTGAAGCGTACCTGGAGGGAAAAAATATTGTTTATTAGACCAAAACTGAAGTGGAGACGGAAAAGGAACGGAAGAAAAGAAAATTATTGTTTATTAGATCGAATCAGAAGGGGAGAAGAAAAAGAGAATCGGGTGGCCACAAAACCAAAACAAAGAAGGGATTAGAGCTGGACGAAAAATCATGTGGCAGGAATTTTGTCTCTTTAATAGTAGGTATAGGTGTAGAAGTATAGATATAGATATAGATATAGATATAGATAAGATTTATTTTAGCAAGGGCATATGATCCGGTATGTTGATTCCACCCACAAACTTATGTAGGAAAGCAGAACAGGCTCAACTACGTGGTATATGACTGTATGAGCTCCTAATATATCTATGCCTCTTCCATGGCTTACGGGCTTCACCCTCCCGATTGCCCCCGGAAGAGTTTGACACTATTACAGTAATCTTAACTGAGGCGGGTAAAAAGCCTTAACCGAGGCGGTTTCCGTCGAAAGTTCACGGTTAATCCGGTCTTAATAGAGGTTGGCCAACCGCCTTGGTTAATCGATTAACCGAGACGGTTGGCTTAACTAGGGCGGTCTCTTTAAGGAGCCCGCCTCATTTAAAGTATTAACCGAGGCGGTCCATTGTTACATGCCCGCCTCCGTTAATATTTTCCCATTTTAAAAAAAGTAGCATAGGCCATTCCATTTGAATTTGAATCAGAATTCTGTTTTCGCAAATGAAACACATGTAAAAGCAGAAAAATACGCATACGGAGCTCAAACATGTATATATAACACGTTCATTGGTGCCGTCTTGTCCTTATCATACCATCACGAAACCAACATCATTAAAGTTATTACATGCATGTCTTGATGAAACTAATTAACACATGTCCTCTACTTTAATTTCCCTAACCCAAAGAGATCTGGCAATGCGTAATCTGGGACACGTAGCTGGGTGCTCTAGTTTTTATCCTCTCGAACTTCTCTTCCCGCGCATACTCGCTTTTTTCGTTGAAGAACGGTCGCCCAACATGCACACAGGAGTCTGTGAGAACCTTGCATATGTCCGCTACTGTTCGAGTGAAGTTGTTATGGTCGAACTTTTCCTTTCGCCACCATCCTTGTGCTTTCTTAAGCTGCCGTCAGCTGTGGCTATATTTGCTGCACGTTTTCAGGTACTCGCAAACGTAGAATCCACATAATACTGTGTTATTAGGTTGTTTGGCGCACTGCACGAGATATATATAATATACACAATCATTAGAGCATATATAGAGAGCATGCTCAATATAATAGCACAAACGACTTTTGATACTTACCGAAAATCACGCTTTGAGTTTTAGTTTGGTGCCATTCTTTATCTTCTTCTTCTCAGATCTTCGATCATATCAG